TTTAATTTAATACAAACTATTAATGAATTTATCATTTAAACGATTTGAATGAATAAAATGAGAGAAATTTTTATCCGAGAATGGGTTCGTCCGTCAATTCAATTTGTTTCCCATTTTTCTGAGTTTCAAAAATAATTATTTCGTTGACTCCTTGTTTGAGTAGATGTGAGGGCAGGTATAGTGTTAGTGTCGGCCCTACACTCCAATAACGGCCTAAATTGAAGCCATTGATGAAGACTACAGAAGTGGTCCAATTGGGGCCTAACTTAATGTATGTATCTTCCGGTGTGTCCTCTATTACGAGACGAGTCCTATAAAACGTCGGACTTTTGTAGTCTTCAATCGGAGTCCACTTCTCATTATTGAGTCCATTAATAAACTGCGGTTTCATATCAATGGCAAATATTTGCCAATTGTGTTGAACTTTATTGTCGATCAGTATGTCTTCACTCAAGCCTTTCCTCTGGATCTTCATGTCAGTGATCAGAGATCCGAAACCAATGCGACCCATATTTTCGACTAAAATGTCTAAATTATATTTCATGTCTTGTTTCCGACGGAACACATGACCCGGAATTGTGTGATTGAATGAACGACTTTTTGCAAATACAAAACCTATTTGTTTGTTGTCAACCATAAGGGATGCCCTATCATTGACTCGACCTGTAAATTGAATTATTAATGTTTAACTTTTAAATTAAATAAATATTTCATTTACTAATATATTATTCAGTTATTCATACCTTTAGAAAATGTAATGACTTTACTGACAGGAATGGAAGTCCTGTAGAGAGTAAACCCAAAATTTTGTCCATAATTTGGTTCAATATTTATATTTTCCATAGAAACCGGACTTTCATATGAATACGATTTAATATTTGATAAAATATGACATAAACACAATTGTTCAGTCATTTCAATCACTCCATAACTAACAGCTCTGTTATGTTTTGGTGGCAAATATTGCTTGAGTTTCGGTGCATTTCTTTCTGTATTAAACCTTTCAATCAATTCTTTAGTTTTCCAATATTTAGGCGTATAATTGCCTATCATTTACCACAAATACAAAAGTAAAAGATTATGTTAATTATGTCATAATCAGTAAAAACCTGATTCAGTGAGAGGGGCGTCGTAGTCATAGCTGGTAACAAAACTAGTGGACAGGGAGGAGCCGTTCACTATTTTGCCCACATTTCCGGCCATAAACCCGAAATTAGTTCCGCCGATAAACATGTATGCGTTGAACGAGGAGTTCATTTGAAATATGATTTCATCCAATTGTCGGCTATAATAGTCAATGTGTTGTGTATTATGTTTTGAGCCCCAGTTGTCGAACCAACCGCTCCAATACTCGGCCACATATAAGGGCTGATTGGGTCGTGAAGTCTTGAGATCCCGAAGATGTTGCAGAGAATTCCGGTTGAAATTAATTGTTTGCAGATATTCTGTCAAAAAGTAGTCAAATACTAAATGAAATACAAAATAAATAGTTTTGTCTAACCGTCGAGAGATCCGTGTCTTTTAGGTCCGTCGGATGTGAACAATAATTCTTTGATTCCGTATTTTCTGGCAATTGATCCCAAATTTTTCATATAATTAAAGTGATCTTTGTTTCTAAGAGTGTTTCCGTGCGATCCAAACTCATTCTCCATCTGAACGGCAATTATTGGCCCGCCGTTTGTCGTGAACTGGTAGTCCTTAATAACAGCAAACAATTGTTCCCAATAGCTGTCCACTGCATCCATGTATGGCTTGTAATTGGATCTGACTTTCATGTTAGGGTCCCTTAAAAGCCAAGCGGGAAGTCCTCCGAACTCCCATTCGGCACAGATATAGGGTCCGGGTCTATACATTGCAAACATATCCGTCTCTTTGATAGCCCCCAGAAAGTCACTGACATTCAAGAGACCCGAAGAGAAGTCAAAATGTCCCGGAGTTTCCTCGTGAAGATTCCACGGCGAGTAGAATTGGACCTAAAATTTATTTAGTATTACAAAAGTAAATGTTGATTATTATTAGGTATCACTAATAGTTAATAAAGTAAAATACTTCGTATAAAAATATAGTATAAGAGTTATTTTGTTTGATAGAAATATAGACAATGTTTACAGCATTAAGTCCGGCGGCTTTGAACTTCTCGAGAATTGGACGCCAATTGTTTTGATGGACACGAAAGTAGTGAAAACTTCCGCTAAATATTGTGATGGGTTTGCCATTTAAAATGAATCCATCGGCCAGTCCTTTAAGTCCAGAATCGATGCCTCCGTTTGTGTAGAACTCGTAGAGTGTTTGCAATTCACTCGAAAGCGTATAATTCACAAAAACTAACAACAAATATATCCTAACATTCATTTTGATCACTAGTTTAGTGTTAATTAACAATTTTCTATAATTATTTATTTGGAAAAACTAATTTCTGGTCCACTACTGGGGAAAGGGAAAACTGGATTTAAATGACTTTTAATAAACATTTCCTCGAAATATTTACTATTTTTTAATTGGATGAACACTTTTATTTATATGTAGTAATCATAGAACTAATTTAAAATTGTCACACTTTTTGTAATTGACAGTATGTTTAAAAATCAAAAATTATATTTAATGAAAATTTCTAGAACATTAAGATAATTATATTGTTATAAATATAATGTTAAAATGATATAATATAAATTATAAAATAATAAGTTTAAATTATAGAAGAATTTTGTTTATTTTTAGGTAAAGTAATTAGTAATTAGGGAACAAAAATTTTATTTATTCAGATTTATGAAGTCTCCTCTTGATCTAATAATCCAATTTTGTATTTACCATTCAAAATATGCGCTATACTCTAGTAACACAAGGATTTTAAATTTGAAGAATTAGTAATTATACTTAAAATATAGAGATATCAATAATTTTGAGAAAGAAACCAACGCTTATTATGAGGATCTATTTTTACAAATAAAATATTTAGTCAATAACAAGCAAATTATACAATCTTCATGTAATAACCTGTAATACATTGTAAGAGTTTATTAGAAATAATTTCCAACAATAAAAACCAATATTTAGTTGACTCAACTTCTCCACAAATGTTGATAACTGAATAATATTAATGTAACAAATTAAAACAATAAGCATAGTTTATAATTATTTACACCAAAAATTATAATTAATTTAAAATATTCCATAAAGACATAAATAGATCTAATATTTGAATACCTTAATCTTAAAACATATATGAATTTTAGTGTAATTATTTGCGGCCACACATGAAATCATATACTTGTAGGAAAGGGATGCCTTGGATGACAGCAATGAGACTGAGTTGAGTACCATTAGGAATAGGATTATTAATATAATTGACGAATAAAAATATACAATTCTAATAATTATATGAAAGTCTCCAAAACAAGCATTAAATAGACAAAGATTTATGATACAAATTACGGATACAATAAATGTGAGCAAAAATTGTGACCAATAATTCTCATTGAATTCATTGATTTCCAAATGAATACTTGTGTAGGATTTCAGGAATTGTCTCATATTTATCCTATTTATGAGATGCTTATTATGGGCTATATTTGTGAGGGTATTATTAATTGATCTCAACTTTAATCTTAGATAATAACAAGTGAGATATAAATAATAGATTTGATNTATTATTAATTGATCTCAACTTTAATCTTAGATAATAACAAGTGAGATATAAATAATAGATTTGATAGACTATTATATTGGAGCAATAATATACAAATAAAGCAAATAATAGCGACCATTCAATAACTGGTAATAAAATTTGAATTACAGATGAATTTAATAAAAGTGGAATAAATGCTATTAAAAATCCAGCGATTAGTCCAGAAATTGATGCAATTTTGCTGATATATAGAAATATCGCAGCCTTTTGAATAACTTTATAAATATTTTGCTCAAAAACATTATATTTTCTATTCATTATATCTATTAATATAAGATTTGAGGGAATCTTGTCATTTTTAAAATAATAGTAATTAATAATCTGAGCGATTAAAGCCTGTAATCCAAATAGGACCAGTGATATAGTTATATGGTATCGTATTTTTAAGAAATAAATCCAATCACCAATTAATATAAATGTGTTGACATCAGTCTCGTCCAGAAATAAACATAAAATCTGTTTTATAATTGTTATGAGAATTACAGTGAATACAAGTAATGGATTAAATATTTTATCTCTCTTTTCATCGGAGTATTTAAATAAAGACAAACCAATTAAATACAAATAATTTTCACGTATTCTTGATTTCAAATTCAACATTTTTGACAACCAATTCATAATAAATTTTAGTTGTTTTTTATACACTCGATTTAAATATACACTGTTAACACTGAATTTTAAAGTGTACTAAGCATGACTGAATTTTATTTTTAACATGAAATAAGTTTTTTATATAGATGATTTGGAATTATTGATTTGAGAGTTTAAGCAAACTTAATGATAAAATAAATATTAAATATGACATTTTAATTACATCTTGAAATAATACTTATAAAGTAATATAAAAATTCTTAAGCAAACAAATAATAATTAAAAAGAAAAAATTATTAAATATTCACTTATTTCTCGTA